AAGAATCTTTAACGATTGAGATTCGCAAATTAATAAATCGCTAATGAAGAACTAAAACTAAAACAAATTTGCGGCCATGAAAGCTTTCTCTACGTTTTCATCTTTATTTCCAGCCAATCACGGTATTAAAATCTAACGTTGGGCGCTTAAGGCCTAACATAATAGGAAACTTTTATGTTCAAAATTTATTTAATAAAAATACTATTACATCGAAATAGTAATCATAACTTCACTTATTAGAATGGATTTAAGCACAAAATACTGAACTGAGACTTTTTTGTTTCCAAGTAAGAAAACTGGAAACAATATTTAGTAACAACTAATGACAAAATCATCTTTTTTCTTAAAAAAACAACAAAGGAAATTGACATGTTTATGCAAACGAAAATTTTCGTGGTATTTTTTAGTAATAGAGAAATATTGATATTAAATATTATTATCCTTTTGTAATCATAGAAATATCAAAATGTACAGTTTCTAATGTTCATTTATAGATGGAGACACTGTCGTTGCTTTACAACTAAGAACTCTGCAAAATGTTTATAGATGGAGACACCATCGTTGCTTTACAACTAAGAACTCTGCAAAATTCTAAAAAATAAATAAATGGGTGTACTGTCTTTTTTTGGGGGGAGGGGTTGTTTTTTGGTAGAAAATGTAACGTTTATTTTCATGATAAAGGTAAAAATTATCTAATATACTTACAATTTAATAGCTGTATAATTTGAAACAAATTCGTCTCTAGAAGTTTCTCCAAGTATTTAAACTGCGGGTATTTCGTCGCGTGCCTGTTGTTCTCGATAAAACTCAGAGTTAAGACATTTACTATATCTTTAAATGATAAATTAGAATTGTTGTTCATCGTTCCAAGTTCGTTGCTTTGGAAAATCTCTTATATGATTTAGACTTTTAATAATTAACGGAAAACTCTATTTTAACATTTTCAGACAAAAGTGACCATTTGGCTATGAAGATTTTTTACTCATCTTCCAATAGTTTTCAGCAGTACAATATAAACATACGACCCCCACCCATCTTCCAATAGTCTTCAGCAGTACAATATAAACATACGCCCCCACCCATCTTCCAATAGTTTTCAGCAGTACAATATAAACATACGCCCCCCATATAGTGAGATTAGTTTTCTAAGACCGTTTATCGACTAGGATTACAGGACCACTTTTGTGTATGTGTCTTTTAAGCTTAAGCCAAAATTTGTAACTTTACATAACTGGCACGTATAGGCTTGTTTTGTTCGGATATTTGCACAAAACTATACAAGGTTATCTACGCTAGCTGAATTCAGTTTTGGACTGATAGACTAGAGTGAAGACAACTAGTTATTAGCACCCACCGCCGATTCTTGGGCTTCTCTGATCGAACATTGGTTTGGGCTGTCACTTTTGTAACACATCCATGGCCCTAAAATGCGGGCGCAATTTTGAGCAACGGAACGCGAACGTTGTACATTTGCTGTTATGTTAAACATATATTACAGTTTTTCTTCATTACCCATTCAAGCCGTCTCCAACCGTTATTAACTTAATATGTATGTTCTATGTTTCAATAGAAACAGATTCGTTATAATTTTGTGATTTTTTGAACGTATATAACATTAATTAATATCAATAGAGGACGATACTGGACTAAAGCCGTGGTGGTTGTATTTACTTTCCTAAATATTATTTGTAAAGTGTAACTTACCAGAAAGATCGTGTATACAGAAATTGACTGACCTTATGGTCAGCGTGTGAGAGGTCATGGAACATAAATATTGCAATAGGCATGATGCTCAAGGTTAAAACAGCTGGGAAAAGATAGGATATTCACCTCATTGTACGTTTGAAAAAATTTACTTTGAAGTGGAAAGTTCGCATCTTGAGAGAACAAAGTGAAAAATATTATAAAAAAATAATTAATTAGCAATTCACGTCGATGATTATGACCCCCTTCGGCAGCTCGGTGGTAAGCTTGAGGGCTTATAACGCTCAAATCGAGGATCGATCCCCACTGGGAGCATTACACAGTTAGACCTTTGTGTAGTTTTAGGCTTAACAAACAAACAGGAATCGCTGTGATGTCAGTCTTTGTTTAAAGGCATCTATATTTATATAAAGACTTTGAATAACAGTGACGATTGTTAAACTGACAGTATTTTAACTTCAGTTAATGTAGCATTCTCATGAAAATTAAATTAGTATCGGTACAGTATAATTACACGAAAATTGGTATTAATATATTTTACCACGCCAAATTTGGTATTAGTTCAGTTTAACTACGCCAAATTAATATCGCTATGTTTAACTACGCCAAAACTATTGTCGTCGTAAATTATATACGGTAGAGTTAGTATCATTAGAGCTTGTCTAACTTAAAAATTATTATCGGTGTAACAACGTACAACAAAAATCCATTAATTAACATCAAATTTGGTATCGCTGATAAACCTGAAAATGTTCAATAAATTCTAGAATTACGAATTTGGGATTCGATATTATGTTTCACACTGTTGATGAAATTCGTTGGAACAGGTTATTTAGGGTTAAGATAATACAATCGTATGCTTAACGTGGCAACACCTGATTCTTATATCATTTAAACAAACACTATTGAGCATAGTGTGATAACATAAAATTTTATTCCCGACACTGTCAAGACTAAGTAGGCTTTAAAAAGATTTAGAATCACTTCTTGTTTGTGATTTCTATAAACCTTAACTAGTTTCAAAACTAAGCAAGAGTTTCATTGGTGCATTGGGTAGTTATGAGCTCCAATCCTTCCAATACACTCAAGAAATATGTGATTGAATTTAGGGTTATGAAACTTGACTAAGAATGACTTTAGGGTTACGAAACTTTATTAAGAATGACTTTAGAGCTACGAAACTTGACTAGTACTGACCTTAGGGTTATGAAACTTGACTAAGACTGACCTTAGGTTTATGAAATTTGACTAAGACTGACTTTAGGGTTACGAAACTAGACTACATATCTTTGGCACTCTATGTATAAGATTATAAAACAATTCAACTGACACACAAGTATATAATATGTTACGTAGGTATAACACGCCCTCTTACCTCAGTTTCTCTAAACTCCAAAATGATTACTTTTTACATAAAACATAAGTATTTTACAACAAATGTTTAAATTTGGCACCTGATACATTATTATCAATAAAATGAAATGTAATTAAAACAAAACACACGATATGGCTACCTTATAAAAACTTTACATTAATTATAAAATTAATACTATTATTCAAATTGTCAAAGTATTTCCATTTCTGCAAATTTCACTTAATTATTTACAGGGAGTGTAATGGTTTTAGAAGTTTGCTAATTTCAACATGTTTTCCCCATGATGCACTGTAACCACCGAACGTCTTGAAAATGGTAACACCAAAACAAAAAGTAGATTTTAAATTTAACAAGGCCTACATTCGCACGCATTTTAAATTACGCTTCATATAAACTGAAATAAGCAACAAATTCGAAGCCTAAGAAGAGGAGTGAAAACTACGAAAGCGCCCTCCCTTGAGTATTTCTTATAATATAAAAAAAAAAAAACTAATGCAAGGCGTCTCCTACTTATTTCTGTATATACATACACATAAATAATAAAGATTCTCAAAATATATATATTTTAAAGTACGCTAAACAAATGCATTTCTAAGACAAGGGGTTATTTATAACGCACGTCATTTACAAACAAAAAATAAAACGGACCAATCAGTGATTTGTACAGCTACTTCGCACAGCTTATCTACTTGTGAACTAATGAGCACGTGTTAGTTCGCGGCACTTTAACAGCTTCCCCCCTTGTTCTGTCGTGAAAGGCAACAAATGGCTGTTGGCAATTTGTTTTATGTCCTTTTAACTTAATTAAATGGCTATTTCGAGTCGTTGTTGCCGTAACTGAACTTAAAAAACGAAAATAGTTCGAAGGTCAAACATTTTCTTTTCTCTCACACGTTTTAAGAAAGTAAGAACAAATATTTATCATCGTGATATTTCCGTTCTTCTTAGGAAACCAATGGTTCATGTGCTGGCTGTAGGCACGGCTTGCAGTAGTTAAACTGATGGTTCATGTGCTGGCTGTAGGCACGGGTTGCAGTAGTTAAACCGATGGTTCATGTGCTGGCTGTAGGCACGGCTTGCAGTAGTTAAACCGATGGTTCATGTGCTGGCTGTAGGAGCCGGAATGAGAAAACCGTTTCAGACACTTCCGACACTGGAAAGGCTTCTCGCCGCTGTGTAATCTCTTATGTTCCGTTAGGTGGTGCTTGTGTTTGAAAGCCTTACTACATTCATCGCACTGGTAAGGTCTTAGGCCTAGAGACAAATAAATGTGAAACAAACATGATATTAGAAAAACAGGTTCATTCGGTAGCCTATCGAGAATTAATACTGGTTTTAGGAGTGTGTAGAGACTTTGTCGCTGTTTTTACAATAACTAGTTTAAAATACCTTAATCAGGGTGAACATGTTTCAACTCAGGTAATGTTGACTAGTAACGTAATGTTGACTGGAACATAGTATATACATAATTACAAATAGATAAAACGACCGTGAACTCCAGATTAATCAGGGTGAACATGTTTCAACTCAGGTAATGTTGACTGGAACATAGTATATACATAATTACAAATAAATAAAACGACCGTGAACTCCAGAGAACCTTACAAGTTTTGTAATTTACCCAACGTTTCGGCTTTACGCCTCTGTCAGGAGCAGCCGTAAAGCCGAAACGTTGAGCAAATAAAACACATATGTTATACTTCTGACTTGATTGGTTAGTTACTGGTTATTGTATAAATTCTGTAGAACGTCGGATGTTTTAATTCGGAAAAGAATGTTATTACTAATTATAAAATTTAGAACCATAAGATAATTTTGAAGCAAGACATTATATTTTTCATATGTTATACATATATCTTTAATAAGCAATATCGGGTAGCCCTAAGCTAGTTGATATAACATTGTTAATAGTAAAGTCATGTGTCTTTTACAAAAAAAGTTTCAGTCTCAATTGAAGGTTTCGCCACCTGAGGATTATTCATTTATTTGTATTAACCTCTCTTCATAAAATAATGAGATGTACTCTAAACATTGCGAGTACAACCCCCCTCCCCCCAAGGGATAGCTGTGGATGCCACCTTAACCATTTCATTCACCTACTTACCTGAGTGTTCGTATTTGTGTCGAGTTAGTGAGCTCTGCTTGTTAAACATTTTGTTACACTGATCACATCCATAAGAATTGTCTTCTGCTACACTTATACATGGGAACTTTCTCTTCTTCGCCTCATCTTCGTCAC